ATCGCTGCTTGCCGCAGGCAACTATCCTTCTCAACTTGTACAACAGAGCAAATGTTAAATGGTCCGTAACTCTCTTCAGAGAATCGTTCCGCAAAAAAGGAGGGCAGATTTGAATTCAGCGGCTCAAGGCACGTCCATATATGTACATCTCATTGCAAATGGCCGGATCGACCTGTTGGGGTTCCCTTGTGAGTGGGATCAGTCAACGCGAGCATAAGAGAGCACAGAGACGAGCGAGTCGACCGCCACCAGCTCACCCACCATTGCGAGGAGGAGATCGGTCCGATGGGCGGAGACAGGCCTAGGAAGGAAGCTCCCAGTACTCTCACGATCTTTGAGCCGAGAAGTCAGCACAGCCTCTGCACTTGTAAGCAAGTCTTTCTCACCCACGCAGGAGTTCTCTTCTGAGCTAATCAGCTCGTAGAATGTCTCATGCTGATGTAAGGAAATGATGAGTTTGAAAGCCTGCGCTCTGCTGATGTGGGACAGTACGCCTCAACGTCTTGCCGCTCGACTTTTGGCGTGATTGATGCGTAAGTCCGCACAGACCAGTTTGATTTATAACGGAGCTAAAAGCTTGTCGCTAAAGGGTACCTTGTAAGTGAAAACCAAAAAAGAAACTAAGGAAGGGAGGCCTTCCTGTAATCACAGGTGTACAACATGGTGCTCCGAAAATCCAGGGATAGCGCTCATTCGGGTCAAGAGGCAGGTGTCATCACAATTATATCCCCCCTCTTAACTGATTAGGAGATCTGTGAGATCTGTGCGTGCGAAAAACATTCTCCTACAGGCTGTTACAGTGCAAGGGAGTCAGGCAATGTTTAAGCAGTGCTTTCTCTCCTGACCAAATCTGCTACCACTCGACGGAGCCGAATAAACAGGAGGGTTTGAATGACTGGGTATAATTCGATTACAGGATCGTGTGCGCTGTTTAGCGACGGGGGGCATTTTGTACTAACATTGCTTCCCTAGTTCCGGTTTACGAATCTCACCATGATAAAACTTGTGAACGCCTGTGAAGCTGGACTAAGATCGTCTAGCCACCATCCTAAACGTGTCAACTCGAGAAAAGCTACCTAGATGGGTCGGCACAGTCTATGAAGAAGCCGGAATGCTCTTGTACAAGTTGAGAAGGATAGTTGCTTGCAGCAAGCGGCGATGGCCTAGTGGAGAAGCGCAGTGCTTCAGAGACACGAGGTCGCATGTTGGAATCCTTGACTCTTGAAATATTTTTGCTTTTGTTCAAAGCACTTCATATCAGTCCCCAGAACACTTCTGTTTGGCCAATTCACCTAATCTCTGATTATTTGACAATAGGAGCGGCCATTGCTCCATTTGTGGTTCCTTCCGAAAACTTTTATGTGGATGACCGTTTCTAGAGCTCGCATAGAGGAATGGAGATTTTACGGTATAAGAGCACATGTGGTATACTTCCACAAAATGATAGAAACAATACGAGTTCTTAAAATGAGCGGAGCAAATGAAAAGTACTCTGCACGGTACATTACAGTTCTCCAAAAATCCGGAGGGGAAGCAGTACTGAAAAGGTGTTTCGAACATCCTGGTGAGTTCGAAACACCTCTTCAGTACTGCTTCCCCTCTGGATTTTTGGAGAACTGTAACTGTACCGTGTGTGCAGAGTACTTTTCATTTGCTGTGCTAATTTTGAGAACTTGTTTTGTTTCTGTCATTTTGTGGAAGAATACCACATGTGCTCTTGAACCATAAGATTCCCATTACTCGATGCGAGCTCTAGAAACGGTCATCCTCATAATAAAAGTTTTCAGAAGGAACCACAAATATAGCAATGGCCTATTATTAAATGCCAATGAGCTATCTATTGTTAAATAATCAGAGATTTAGGTGAATCGGCCAAACAGAAGTGTTCTGGGGACTGATATGAAGTGCTTTGAACAAAAGCAAAAATATTCCAAGAGTCAAGGATTCCAACATGCGACCTCGTGTCTCTGAAGCACTGCGCTTCTCCACTAGGCCATCGCCGCTTGCTGCAGGCAACTATCCTTCTCAACTTGTACAACAGAGCAAAGATTAAATGGTCCGTAACTCTCTTCAGAGAATCGTTCCGCAAAAAAGGAGGGCAGATTTGGATTCAGCGGCTCAAGACACGTCCATATATGTACATCTCATTGCAAATGGCCGGATCGACCTGTTGGGGTTCCCTTGTCAGTATCAGCCTTTCGCATGCTCAACGCTTAAAGTATTTTGCAAAAGATATCCCCATTACGGCGTTTTTGACTATATCCATTTGTTTTTATCTTCATTGGCAGGTCACTTAGCATCTACAGATTGATGTATGGATCTTCCTACCTTCACCTGTTTAGAGCCCCTTTAAGATTACGGTACTTTATCTCATTTTGCCTTTGCACGTTGCAGAGATAGGGGTTGTCTTTCGCTTCATCCACATTCTCTCACAATACTGCCGTTTTTGAATGCTCGTCATAATGCTCAACCCCGGTCACGCCAAAGACTTGATTCGCTAGGGAAAGTGAAAAGAAACCCTGTTTTGTAAAGAACTGCTATTGCACAGAGTGTTAAGGCATTTCAAAAGACCGACAACCGAGTTCATTAATCACGAGATCGGAAGCACTTCAAAACTTCGCTATAAATGCAGATCCTCCGCAAGTGCAAGGAAAACTTTCCCACTTCCTTTTTATTTCTCCGTTATGGTCTCATGGAGGCAGTCCTACGTTACAGCCATGCTGAACGCCTGCACAGCTGCGGGGATGATGTCGGGTTTTATACTTATACCCACAGTGGTAATTCATAGCCTATATCAATGGTACATAGGTGAAGCAGAGAATTTGTCGCCGGTCGATTACACAGTTCTTCGCGCTACTTTTTAAAAATACTCCAATGTCTTTGTTTCACAAGAATCGGTCAGAGAAGCCGTTCTGCTTGCCTAGCGCGTAAAGACTTCTGCCGTGTGGATCAGTAGCTCGTAAAGCTCTTTCATCCGAGGTTTGGGCAGAGAAGCTCTGGGACACACTCCTCGGGGGTTCTGATCATTACCATGTACGAGGTGAATGGGTCCGCGTCTGCATCAGCGTGCTTTCTCCGCCCAAAAGTGCAGGGGAACGGGGCCAAGTGTAGCGATTTCTGGGTGACGTCTCCTACACAATCAGTCACACGTCTAAAGCCTCGTTCAAATTTCGCGACGGCAGCGCTTTTGTCGCGCGTTCGACGCGATCGATGCGCATGCTTTCGACTGCATCGATCGCGTCGAACGCGCGACCGAAGCGCTGCCGTCGCGAAGTCTGAACGCTGCTTAACCAAAGTCAAACGCGCTACTTGTTTACGCTCTCTCACATCTGCTCGTTCTCTACCTCTGCGCGTGCGCTGCGGGATTTTGGTATCCACACAGGTGCTTCACCCTGACGATAGCGCAGGAGCAGTATGGAGATGGCACCAGGGTATCCCTACTGTTCAACTTTGTTCTCGTGCATTTTTGAGCGGAAATTGACGCGCTACTACAACTGCAGACTTTTTCATCTTGCACATGGGAAGGACCGTCCTCGAAGATGAGTGTACGATTTTTCTCCAGCAGAGCCTTGTGCAGAATTGCGATCACCATTACCCTGCGTACTGTTGCGCCAAATACCCTGGTAGATTCAGTGAGCGTCTAGGATTTCTAGTTGAAAGCCTTCCATACGCTCGCTCGGATGATCACATTACGAGGCCCGAAGCATCCAAATATTCGAAGCTTTCCGGGTTGTTTCACTCACTATAATGAGCTCCTTAAATAGATAAGAAAGTCCAAATCTTCGAGGTACGGTAGACCTAGCTACTTACTTTCGTTGTACTTAGCGCAGGTTACTCTTTTGAATGGGATATTTCAATTTTGAGGTTACTGTAAGAATCCTTGTGTCCAGCACTAATCAAGTTGACAGCGGTCTCAAACTGAACTGAAATATTTACAAGTGAACCATTCCACGAAAGGAAGTTCGTGACGACGCCTACCGCATCTCAGAGATGTGGAGTGTAAATCTCAGGACTTTCAAGTTCGTACTGAATATTAGCCATACACTTTAAAAGTTCATGGCCCCGCGGTAAATCTATACGCGAATGCGAATGCGCCGACCCTCCTGCGACAGTGGTGGGTTCTGTATTTCCATGGCGGCAAATTACTGTCAGTCCACTGATTGATCATGGAGCAATTAGCTGAGCGCACTCACACGTACACAGTTACTACTTCTTTGTTCTTCAAAAGCGGCATCGACCCGACGAACTTTTGAACCACCTACTGTTAATTGCTCAGCAATTTTACTATCGACGCGAATACAAATAGTGCCTTTCACTCGCTACAGAACCGCATCCAGTTCTACTTTCATTCCAAAGCCCCTCAACGTTTCTAAAATTTTAAGAGCGACAGTAGAAGTAACTACGCGACCAAAAAAGGTTTAAAATCCTCGCTTCACAAGAGTTCCCATTCTTCCCCTACCCTTCCGCTCATCACTGTTCCGCAACGGATTTCATCTGCCCTTTGTGGAACGTAAAGGCTGATAGTTAAGGTAGCCAATAAGAGCTTGCTGATCACACGCCCCGACACTAGGACACAGCTGTCAAA